ACATTTTTTATGGTAGACAACAGGATGTGCTGAAAATAGTGCTTCGGTCAGTGTTGTGGTAAAACTCAAGGGGTGGTCCATGGACGGGAATAGGATTTCATGGTACTCCGGATGGCTCTGTTTCAATTGTTAATAGCATCTTGTTTTTAGATCTCAATATGCAGCAACAGGTGTAATGGGTCTCTAATGTTGTCTTTGTTTATGAGGGAATTAAAATCTAATTATGGGATTTATAATAGCTATGGTTCTTGGATTGTGGAAACAAATAGCAGAAATGTTTTTTCTTTCAGGCTAGTCATTGAGGAAAACTCATTGTACCTAAGGATTAATACTATTAAGTAATCTCTCTATTACGATATATGTAGCCCATCATTTGAGACATATGTAAAAAAAAAAAATACATACAAACCAATGTCATAAGTATTTTTGTCCAAACTAAAACAATTTGGTAACACAGCCAGATACCTCACCTTGTTCCTGCCAACATCACAACTTTGGCTTGTTTCAGTCCTTTTGGGGCAAGATCTTTGATCACTTCCCGAATGATTTGAGATCCCATAAAAGCATATTCTGTGGTGGAATCAATAATTAATTTTGGAAACAAAAAATGTTAATAGTCTCATAAAAATTATCTCTAAAAATTGTACCTGTTTCTTTTGCCTGTTTGGACTTTAATGCTGCTTTGTTACCACTCCACACATCACTTGAACAATAGGGAACAAACCTGTTCACATCAGATAAGATACATAAGTAAGTTAGATGTCAATTATAAAGCTTATATAAATATCACTCTTGAATTTTTCAAATACTTACACAATATTGGCATTATACCAGTGAGGATTTTCATCAACTTGTGTTGACAGTAAACCACTTCCTGCAAATAATCAGGTTGTTTTCAGTAAGAATCACAGAAGTATGGCTTGCAAGACTAGCTAGAAGAAAGCAAGATGTGTTGTTGTGAGTCCGGTTAATATCAGCCTACCTTTGCGTGTCTGTGGCCAGTCAGCTGAGCTCATAAGTCGGGGGATAGTTTTGTATCTGGAATCGCAGGTCTCTTTGTTGTAG